GTTAACTTTGTATTGTACGTTAAGTTTTGTATACTACTACAAACTACCCAGTATCTCGTCTACTAAGTTGGGTTAGGAGGAGGTCGGGCGTCGTGGTCGGGGCCATTGCATCATTTGAATGACTCCAACAGCTTCTTTCTTAGCTAAGTAATTTCTGCATAGTTTGGATGAGTGTTTGGGGTCATTATGTTTTTTGGAAGTAGAATCCTTTACCAATAATATGCAAATCACTAGGGACATTATGCCACACCATTATCTGTTGGTATTTGCGCTCGTTAATTATTTCATCTATTTTGCAAATATCTCCTGTCACCTCAGCAGAAAAACACACCTAAATCATCACACTGCCTCCCCCATGCTTCGTGGTAGGTGCTATACATTGAGGTAAGTATCATTCACCTTCCTTCCATGTGACGTACAACCTACACAGAGTGGTCACAAGTAAATAGACACCACCTTTTCAGAAAAGATGAAATTTTTCAGTCATATTCACAGGAATTGATATATTTATAATTCAATTAATATCTAGTAGATCTTCCTTTCGCTTCGTGGAGTTTGTTGATCCTTTGGGGCATCGCGAGAATCATCTCGTCAGTTTTAGATTGTGGGATTTTCGCCCACTCTTGCTTCAAAACTTGGAGTAGATCGCTCTTCGAAGTTAGTTTTTTAGTTGTTTCTTGACTTGCCGGTCGAGTATGGCCCAGAGGTTTTCGATGGGGTTCATGTCAGGAGATTGGCTCAGCCAGGGCAACTTCTGGATATCATTTTCTTCCTGCCACTTTTGGGTGTTTCTAGCAGTGTTCTTGTCCACAAAACCCGAGGAATAAAGTGGCAAGAGTCCTTTCTCCAACATTTCGACGTATTTTGCTCGATCTCCCACCAACCCAAACAGCTCCCCAAACCATCACGCCCAAAACACTATGCTTCACAGTTAGCTGCAATCTGTTGAGCCAAAACTCTTGGTGAGGCATTCTCCAGACACATATCCTTCCACTGTCCGAAAATTGAGCGAATCTTGATTCGTCTGAGAACAATACGGTCTTTCAAAAATCCAGAGGCTTGGTCATCATATCACTTGCCCACTTCTTTCGTCTGACATGTTGGCAGGTCTTAATAGGGGCTTCCGTCTAGCTGCTCTGCAATGATAACCCAATCTGTGGAGAATCCGTTGAACAGATTTCGGGCTCATCCCACCAACGTTTTCCACTTATGCAGTCGTTAATCTGGGATTTATCTCGATGCTCCTCTTGACAGCCCTTTTTGTCCTCTCTGATGGACCAGGACGACCCAGACGCTGCTCAGTTGTTTCCTTGCCATGTTTCCTGAACTGCACGATGATTCTGTTGACTGTCG